TGTTTATTGTTTGACACGTAGACTTTTTATTCCCTTTCAAACTCTGATTTCGTTAAACCGATACAATTTTAGGAAAAAAATGTGCAAATAAGGAAGTCTTGTTTTATACTAAAATTAGGTTGGTTATTTATGCATTGCTCACATATTATAATGTATGTAATCAAATGAAAACATCTTACATCATGTACTATACTAGTTGCCAATTAATATCTATGCTTTACAGTAATATGCCAAACAAATCAAGTTAAGTAGTAAAGGTGATATGAAGTCATGTTATGCTGTAACACTTCAAATTTTGCAAAATAATCTTTTACTTAATAAACTTGGAATTTGTAAAAGTTTTAGTTTTACGTAATTATTAACGATACAAAATATGGATTCCAAGGTTTCAAAAAGTATGATCTATCATCAAATTTACTGCACTAAGATGCCGTGAACAGTCCAGCCGTTATTAGTAATTATGACAATGTTTTAAAATATTTTGTTGTATCTATTGGTACTGAAAATAATGCACATGAGCCCTGACATTCAAAATAAGTATTTTCAAACATATATATATATATACAAATACACAGATACCTGCTCAAACAAGCAGACACAACACACTTTTAACTCACGAAAGGTGTATCATGGTTATATTCACTAATTTACGGATGTCTTAAACATACCTTATAACCCACAAGTGTCACACACGTGCTGTACATGGATAGCCGTGCTGAAATACTGTCCTGCACTGTACTTAAAATGTCCGTGAGACACAATCTAATTACCGTATTCCACAACTGGGATCCCACGAATATATTTAAATAGCCCGACTACGACCTTTTCGTCGTGTTTGTCGTACTACTAAAGAAGACAAACAATGGAGGTTTTGATAAGCTATATATATTTGAAGTTGGAGATTTTTAGTTGTTATGTGTACATGCAATGTAGAAGGCATTCATCTGAACTGTGAATCTCCGGACAACTGATTTACACAAAATATGGCTTTCTTATTCGTCCGTTAAGTGTATATCAAAAACACTCTGGAACCCTCATATACCCGTATACCGCGCGGTGTTACCCGAGCATGTCTAAACGTATTGTTTCAAGCTGACTGCAGACTTGCTATAGCCCATATGAGCATATTGCGTAGCTTCTAGTCAGGATGCGAAACCACACGCATGAGTAGAAAAGGGTTGTCTTCGTACGTAACTTGTTAAGTTTATGTTTATTTCATAGATGATTGATTAAATATTGTCATATGGATGTAATGAGTGCATTTAAAATTCTCTTCAAGATAAGTCATATGATTCAGGGAGATCGTTGCTTTTATTGAGGATATATTTTATTAGAACCTTTTTTAATGGTTTGTATATCCAGATAGCTGGTTGACTCTTCCAGATAAACACTATTTGTTTTAGCTGTCTTGGTTCCTGTTTTATGTTGACACTGCAATATATCGATCGAGATATTCCGGAGGAATCATATATAATAATAGAGCATGTTTTAGGACAATATTGGTAGTTAAATAGGGACGCGATCCCATACCCGTATATTGTACAGTGTTACCTGACCGTGTCTAAACGTATTGTTTAAAGCTGACGGTAGAATTGCTATTCCAAATGCGAGCATAGTGCGTAAGCTCTAGTCAGCTTAAGCACAATTTTATAAAAAAGATACTGTTGATCAATTTTGCAAAGAATATTTTTAAAAACAACTCGTGTGGCAAGTATAAGACATATTCGTTAATTATTGCAGGGTGCACAGCCACAACATAAGGAAACAATCAGGAATTGACATATTATATGTGGGTATTAAGTATGAGGTAAGCTAACAGATCACAATGATCAGCTACCATACACTCGGACGATATACATCTTTTTGTACTACACTTAAAATACAAAGCATTGTGTGCTTAGTTTTCAGAATGCACTATATATGTAACAGCAATATACTGGTTAAATGCACAAATATACCAACACGCGTTTTTCTTCTTCTTCTTCTTTGTTTTTTTGTCAATATTTAAGTAATTGACAAACTATCTGATAATTCTACTTTAGATATCGCATTATCATGATTTTTTAGGACTGAAAACTATTGACGACTTACATATATAAATTAGCGACATATCATCTTCCTTGGTCTGTTTTTATCGAAGCCTAACTAGCTTAACGACCCAATAACACACATGATCAAGATGTGGTTTTGTAACATGTCTTGAAATGTATCAATGGCTTTGTATTACCATTATTTCAGGCGATGATTAATTAATTATTTTTCATTTAATTTTAAGTTATTAAAGTCAATCTAAATAAAATGCATATGATCATATAGTTAAGCTTACAATGCTCTAACGAATAGGCTCAAAACATGCAGTAAATTCACCTTGGAATTTACTATGCCTAAAACCAGTCAACATTGGTAGCCTCGCTATCAAATTCTGTAAATTTGGACAAATTTCTTTTTCTATCGTCAATTTTTTTATAATCAGGAGTATTATTTTGCTCTCCTTTTTATAAAGTGTTCATGACGCATTGTTAGTTTTTTGTTCGTCAACAAATTACGGGTCATTGACTTTTAATAAAATCGTTCTATAGGGTAAACGAAGGGTTGATATTTTGTTCCCAAATTGATGAGTTCATGAAAGTCAAAGTTTGACTGCACGGTTTCCAGTAAATATTATACAATTATGGACTTCAGGTGAGGTATATCACTGATCTTTTAGACCAGGTCCGTAAATCAGGGATAGACCGAAACTGAAGTCCACAATTGTTTTATTATATGACATTTTACAATAAGATTAAAAAAAATCAAGTCATAAATACATGGATGGCATGGACGTTTTTGGAATCACAGAGTGAAGGACTTCAAATAAGAAATAGCATACACACAAATTTAATTTCAGATTCAATTCATGTGATATTTAATTTAAATAATATATTCACATAGTTCAGAATTTTATGAGATAATTCATTTTTAGTTGAATTCAGTAGTGTGATTGGTAACAGAATTACAGCCTGGCTGGGAAATTACCTATACCTATTTTTAGTAGCGGTTTGTAATACTTTTCTATTTAAAGGTCGAGGTCTGTAACACTTTTCTATTCATAGAACGAGGTCTGTAACATATTTACAGACTCGTCACATGACGTCGCTCCTCCAATCAGGGATGGGAATTATCACCAGTCATATAATATAGTGAGTTATATTCCCCGATATGTTATTGTTGACGTGAGTCAATGCACTGTTGACTTCACGTCATACTATTGCTGTGACTGGGGAATACATTCGTGTTTACACTAAGGGTCAAAGAAAAATCTTTCCTTTGGCCGAGAGTGGGGATATCTCTGTATTTGATTACCAATAATGGCAGACAGCTTGTATCGGCTAGTACATGTATTCTGAAATTGTCAACATCTGTTTTGTTTTGTTTGTCGCAATAATAGCTCTCAAGACCTAATGTTCCTTGTTTACCTGTTTGCGACGTTAGGTAAAGTTTCTTGTATTCTTAAGTGCTCATTGAATGTGTCATTGTATAGAAAAGGCTGTTTAAAGGAAACAATCCTCCGGTAAATTAAAACAATGTTTTTACTATCAAGATCGGTATAAACGCTGGGCCATTCTACAACACAAATACCGGCCGACAAACACTCTTTTATGTCGAATCATCGTTTTGAACAGGATGATACTTATGAGTCCTGAACGGTCAAAATGGTATTTCGATTCTTTTTTGATTTCTGCATCTACATTTTTATTTCAAATAGGTGCTTAATCGAATTTCAAGTGATTATTTCGCTTAACAAGGTTGATAACTCTACAGGTGGTGACAGTACCAGAGGTTGGACGTAGCCATGTAGCAGTAATTTATTGTGGTAGGGATTAAATACATAATATCTGCTGTAACCAAAACATGTTTATTTGTAACGTTATAAATGGTTTTGTAGGCACATTTTTTCTGCCCTCTACATGTATATGATTCAGAATACTTTCGACATGGATATTTCATTATTATCCTTTCAAATACAGGCTCCTACATTGAACGAGTTTAACAAATTAAATATGACATGGACATTCATTCTATTTACCACATAACATTCATAATTTAAAAAAAACCAGTACAAACACAATTATGTGATATCAGCTGAATCTCTGTAGTTAAAACAAGAGTACTCCGATAATAGTGAGGTCGTTCCGCAGTGAACAGTAATTCCTCACTCTCTCTCTCTCTCTCTCTCTCTCTCTCTCTCTCTCTCTCTCTCTCTCTCTCTCTCTCTCTCTTTTAGAATAATGAACAGTTTTAAATGCAATAAAAACAATAATAATAAAATATACATTTCAAATTCTTTTAAAATAACAGTAAATGTATCACGTGGTATTTTAACTAAACGAAGTACCTTTAGTGGCGTAGGAATATGTTCCCAATCACAGCACATTTGGGTTATATTACATGTGTCATACCAAATTTATCATATAGCCTTATGAACAAGTCAAATGGATTAGTCATGTGATAAAACTAACTGTGAGTCAAAAATTGGTGAAAGACTTCATTGTACAACGACAATCTCAATCTGCTTGGCTCTCGTTATCTACGATCTTTTCAAAAAGGCGCCTCATTGCATCGTATTTCTTGGTTTTTTTTTTTTTTTTTTTTTTTTTTTTTTTTTTTTTTTTTTTTTTTTTTTTTTTTTTTTTTTTTTTTTTTTTTTTTTTTTTTTTTTTTTTTTTTTTTTTTTTTTTTTTTTTTTTTTTTTTTTTTTTTTTTTTTTTTTTTTTTTTTTTTTTTTTTTTTTTTTTTTTTTTTTTTTTTTTTTTTTTTTTTTTTTTTTTTTTTTTTTTTTTTTTTTTTTTTTTTTTTTTTTTTTTTTTTTTTTTTTTTTTTTTTTTTTTTTTTTTTTTTTTTTTTTTTTTTTTTTTTTTTTTTTTTTTTTTTTTTTTTTTTTAATAAAAATCAACATTCTTTATTGTGCAGTTCGGCCATATGATATGTCTATTATAACAACTTAAAATGTGACAACTAAAATATTTTGTGTGTGTTTTAAACACATATTTAATGAGGAGTATGCGTACAAATATGGCACGTGTCATGTTATTGCGTTCCCAAAGTAATAGTGGACTACATTTCTACTTTTTAAGTCCTCCTTCCACAAAGTGGCAAACTTCAAAGGCAAATATGCGGTCTCTGAAAAAATAATTAACGAGCTTCAGCAATGTAGTGCAGACAGGTCATTAAATGTCAATGATGTAACAATATATTTATATATTTATTTTTATAGGGCAAAGAAGTAATTCAAACAGTGTGGGCAAGTTTAGGTTGTCAAATTTTCGGAGCGATCCGCTCCTTTATCAAGACACAGTGAAATAGAACAGTTACATGTACATATACATCATATTACAAGAAGATAGAACTGATATACTATAATTGAAAAAATAGCTATTATATAAAACCAATAGTCTCCTAGGCAAAAGACAGCCGAAGGCAGCAATTAAGTTGAGAGCATTGCGGACAAGGAACGCTGATAGTCTAAATATCAGAACGCTCGCTGGCTTTGCTCTATAGCGAAAGTGCACTAAGACGGACGTCTATATTACTTCTTTGACCCATATATATTTATACAGTAATATCAGAATTAACAATCACGGATCAGTAAGTTAAAGACTGTTTATATTTCACGTAAAGTGATCCCAATGGTACAAGTTTTGTACAATAGGACAATCTCCCTTAGGCAGTCGGGGACTGTCGGCACTTTCCGTAAAGGATCTTGTTTACGGAATGTGCCGATAGCTCCCAATCGTTTCGGACGGGTTACCATTTACTTACTCAGAACCGTTGTCATGGATACTGTTTATTCCGTGAATAAGTTGTTCGTCGGGAACGTTATATGAAAGCGGTCCGTCGTATTGGTTGACATATCCGGTGAAGTGACATTTGTCTCTCCGGTGGCCTGTATAATAACACACAAAGTGATGTAAACATCTACTAACGTTGTCTTCAGTTCATTATCAGCACTGTAACCAGTACTGATATATTAAATACAGTCGAACCTCGTTATCTCGAACTCGTTTAACTCGAAGACCCCGTTTAACTCGAAGTGTTTCATCGGTCCCGGCCAAAACTCTTCTTAATCTTAGTAATAAAAACTCTGATAGTTCGAACTCTGAAAACTCGAATAACTCGGATATCTCGAAGTGAAATATCGGTCCCAACAACGTAAATCCTACATAAAAATATCGCTTACCTCGAAGTTTCTTAAGATTCACAAGTCGATCATATATTCTTTAATTATTTGATACATATTAGACGCAGTGCTACGGTAAACATCGTTCTCATAGAGCAGCTTACGCTCGGTCATAATTTCTTCGATTAAACTTATTGTATTAAAATGTGTTTGACTGTAAAAACACTTTGTTCAAATAAAGAAACAGACTTCATCAATGTAGATTAACAACAATTAGTACTCACTGCGAGCCCGTAAACAATTTGAATGGCATATTATTTACACCAAAGCTGCCGACACATTCTAACCGGTAAATGGGTCACTGTGTGCGGTCATGCGTAAATAAGCTCCACAGTAAAAATCACAACCTAGGACTGGTTCGTCGATTTATGTTTTTACAGGAGCTTGTATGGCAGTGACACTGATAATTAATTGAGGGATTATAGGAACAATACGATAATTATTATTGAGTACGTCGTGTTGAGGAGATGTCAAGTGTCATTGGGGTCTATAAATGTTGATATGTTTCCTGATTAACTCATACCCATTTCGGAATGTCGAAATCAACTGAGCAATCCAACGAAGGACCCGGCTCCACCGGGGGGATACTTGGATCAGTTGAAAGGGTGAAAACCGGCGTGAAGAGAAAGATTGTGTATTGTTTTCGCGTGTACTCATTAAAAACATCATTTACGTGTACGCTCCAATACCGTGATTTGTGTAAAGACCTGCGCACTTTCATTTCCGCTATCAGCATAGCGAGGTCGGAGACAGCATGTAAGTTTTACAGTAGACGTTCTTCCTGTTTGTATGTGTGGTTATTGTAACATTGATTTGTATCAATTAATTAATATGATTATGAATAAATTGTTATTTTTATTTTATATCGTTATCTTTTTGTCATTTATCGACTGTTTATATAAGTTGTTGATTTTTCCGACAGTCAACGTATTGATAGCCTCATATTTGACCAAACACTTTACCAAGCTTTATGCCAAACATATGAACTCGCTTAACTCGAATACTCGGATAACTCGAAGTTTTCCAGTGATCCCGTCGACTTCGAGATAACGAGGTTCGACTGTATATTAAAAAGAAAACAAGTTACTGTTTTGGCATGTTATTTGCATTGATGTGTTAAGCATTACCTATGCTTAGGTGTTTCCAACCTTGATAACAGGAATAGGAGTTTTTATGTTCACGTTGTTTCATTCGATAACTGAAGTCATTTTGGGCCACGAAACTGTTATAATAGACATTTAATGAAACAAGAAACATATATTTAAAAACTGCAAAAGTATGAATAACGATTAAATTGTAAAACAAAACCGCGACACCGTTTTTTTCCATACACCACTTCGTTTACCGCCAATATGTTTTAGTTTCTCCTTTTTCTCTAAATTCATTCACCCCTGAAGAGACATTTGAACGCTTCCATTTCAAAGGTTGGAATAGTTCATAATGGAATTTCAGGGGTGAATGAGTTAAAACTTTCCCCTCAATTTATCATCAAACTCCTGTATAACGAATGAATGCTAGCAGTATAACGAGATTGTATAGCACTTTTCTATTGAACGATATGTAGCATATAAGTGTTCATCATCACATGTCTAATGATAGAGAAACTTCACCTAACAAACTGTGACGCATTGTTTTAAGCGATGCATTCAATCAGAAAATGCCACACTGTACAAGGCTTATGACGAGCATGATAATAAAGCTGATACTCTTTTCGTACACGAGTGTTATATGCGCTGTCTCATCTACGTTCTGCATTAAGAGCCACATATACTTATAACTTATAAGTTTGCCTTAGACCACTGTTTATTCCGATAGCTTTTTAGACTAATTTGGAATTGTAACACAAGACTTAAAACTTGAAAATAATGTGGATAAGGTGCTGCTTAAGCAGGCCGTCTTTTTGCAAATCTTTAAGGGATAAACAGGGATCCAAATTGATATCAGATGACTAAAAATGGAAATCCTGTTGATTTGACAAAATGAGTATGCAACCCTGACTACAGGCTGCATAAAGTGATAACGTGATGGGTAATATTTGAAATAATATTAAGACCAAAAACGAAAATAAATCTTTCGAGTATGAAAAACGAAAATCTTACATTGATAGCTTAAGTGAGAAAATACGCTTGGCTGATACTTTGTCAACTGTGTTATCGAATTGATCTCTAAACCATAGAAATCATACAAAACATGTCTGCTTATATCAATAGATTACATATATTACCATTACCAACACGAGGATAGGCATTCAACGTCAATAACCGCAAAATAAACAAGAACTAATTGTAATGGGGGACCATTAAAGAAGTTCCCCAAACCCCCGCAGCTATGTTCGCAGTGCCAAAGTAGACTTGCATGTGAAATTTTAGCAAAATCTACCAACATTTAATTTGACCAATCGGAGGCCATGGCAGCCATTTTTGTTGACCGATCGGAAAATGAAAGATGAAAGGTCATTCGCACAACCCCTACTATGATGAACACTTGTGTAAAGTTTCATAATCTTTGTCTAATAGTTTTTGAGAAAAGTGTTGTTAACCTTTTACGAAGAAAGAAGAAGAAGAAGAAGAAGAAGAAGAAGAAGAAGAAACGGAATAAAACCAATAAGTCCCCCACTTCGTTTGTGGGACTGAACGACTTACCTCGGAGGGCACAACATTGGAAGGCCCAACGTCTGTCTTCAGGTCCGTTATTATGGATACTGCGGAAACCGTTGATGAATTCGTCTCCGGAGCACTCATACAGCACAGGTTTGTCGAAGTCATTTACATAGCCTAGAATTTAATTGAATATAATATAAAATCTACACAGTCCGACGTGTTATCTCGTTCTACCTAATGTGGTCCATGGCATGAATTTGGTTTGGTATTATGGTTTCGATGCTGTATGCTTCATATGACATTGTCAATAAGACATTGGTAGGTTTACACAAATTTGTTTACTTTAAAACAAGATATATCAACTTATAATATTCACTCTTGCTGGTCCGGATGGAAGCGCTCGTAGGGTATCATTGTGGGAGGAAACCTGATTACCCGCAAAATCCAACAAATCCAACAGGTCTGGTTGATGACGCATTACTTATTTACGTCCGATCGGGATATCGAACCCACGACACATTGGTGAACAGTGAATGCATTATACACTCTGCCAAACCTGAGCATGTGGTAGTACATGTACGGGCGAATAGAAAAGAACACCACTACAGCCTCATACAATTAAAAATGCAGGTATACAAAGGATCAAGAGGTTGGAAGCATTTTACGTATTTGTTATATTCAACTTTGGTACCAGTTCCTTCAGATAAGATAGGATCTGATGTTGACTTTATAGTGCTATCTCACTGAAATACCATGCCGAAGGCACCCAGCACAGCATTGTAATACATCATGCACATTTGACTGCCCGAATTATTACAATGAAGATATTGAACGATGATGATCAAGCATGCCTCAATGTGTGTTGTGTAAGCGTGTATGTGGGTTTGTGTGTCGGAGAAAAGGTATGTTGATGTATTTGCCTCCTTGTGATAGGGCGGATCTGATGCCGACTTTATCGTGCTATTTCACTGAAACACCATGCCAAAGGCGCCCAGCACAACATTCCGCCCGGTAACATTATACTGACAACGGGTGAAAAGCCAAGATTCTTCTCAAGATTTTATGTTTAAACCGTTGTTTCCGCATTATCAAATGTAAATATACATGTAAAACTCAACATATAAACAGTAACTTCATATAAACATCAATCTGTTCCTGCACATTAAGCCAAGAAGAATTGTAACAGGGAGTTTGCAATGCATGTAGCTATGGTCATATGTAGACGGGTACCCAGGGAGACAACGCGAAAGATAAAGGATAGAACGCTAAAAAGACACACATCGTAAGTGTTGCAATGGAAAAGTATATCAAGTAAGGTCATTTAACATCACCCATATTCAAGGTACAGAATGGAACCCAAAACTGCAGGGGGCACTTATACATAATGTAAGACAATATACAATGTGCTACCAAAGCTTATTCTTTTGTAAAACTGCAGGGAGAGTGACAGGGAAATACTATGTATAATACCTGACCAAACGCAGTTCATGACCTCATCCCGTGACGGCTGGCAACCAAACGACCATACTCTGTCTTCGGCTCTGTTGTCATGGTGACTAGCTAACTGGGTTAAAGATGAGTTCCCTTTACAGGAAAAGTCCATCGGTCCATCTAGAACATTCGCGTAGTCAACGAGAAAACCCGAGATGTTGCCAGCGAGGAGAGACGCAACTACTAACAATTCCTGATAAGAAAGGTAAGATAATTTTATCTGAAAGAGATACTAAATGTACATAATGTTTACATACTTTTTAGATGTTAAGTGGATAAAACGTATTCGTATATAATTGTGTGTAATTAGATTATTAATATTTGGAACTCAGTCATTTTCGGATCTCGTTCATTATAACAAAACATCTCATATAAGTAGAATACAAAATGAAGGCGTGTTGTTCTTGATACACTATCTATAAAAAATTATCAAATGGTTAAAGAAATAAAAGTTCAAAATGTTTTAATTTTATATTGAAGCAACTACAACATTTTGAGGGATAACTGTTTTGATTATTTTCAGGATTCAGAAACGAACAATGCTATTTTAACGACTTAAAATGTTCTGCGATATTTTTGTGGTTTGGATATCTCGATGACCAAAGGTTTTAACAAGGGTTGAATATAATTGAAGAGCTTTAAATAGTCTAAAAATGTACGGATCAAGAACGTATCTTACACACACAGAAGTTGAAGAACACTTTAAGACGCCACGTAGCACATTACCACGAATCATGTTTATAAATGTCAACCGACAAGATATTGACCTTGTTCAACTACAACTATTGTGTTTTATATACTAAGTTGTCAGACTTTAGCCGGTACACTATCTCGATGAAGCTAAATATTTAAAACTTTGATATCATATACTTACTGGTAATTTAGTCATGTCTGTCCACTAAACTGTTCGTAGTGTACTATGCCTATTGACAAGACGGAATTAAGGCTGACTTGTGGAGATAAGATATCAAGTAACGTCAGATATAGAATCGTGGTCACTGTCACAAATGACCTCTGCAGTATACAGTTTGTTTGTTTGAGGTTTAACGTCCTCGCAACAGATAAGGACAATTGTAAATGGGTGACCAGAATGACACCACATAAAGGAAAGAGCAGAAAAGTGAGAAAGAAAACCACAATATAGATAGCATTGTAGCAATGAAGACAGCAGACCAATTTTAGAAATTGTGGCAATGAAGAGCGCAGATCAATTTTAGAAATTGTAGCAATGAAGAGCGCAGATCAATTTTAGAAATTGTAGCAATGAAGACAACAGCTCAATATTACGTCATTCAATGTGTCTTAGCATATGACACAGAATACAACCCACGTTTTATACAGCGGTCCCATATTTATCCTCCTACGACATAGCATGCAGTGACACACAACAGGATTATGCTCGCTCTTGTAGGGGTTCAGGAGAAAGTAGACTGTTTCATGTTAATATTCTCATCGATATTGTATACTCACAGAATTTAAAAAAAAACTTCGATGTAGTTTGATAATTATTTGACCCATTCAGCTGGGCACACACTTTGTTTACATTAAATAGTTGGCTTGAATAATGACGTGTCAACGGAAAATTTCCGATACAAATATTCCTTTATCTAAGCATATACAACTGTGAAAACATTAATATATACAATTTATTTTACGAAAATACAATGTGTTATTCCACTTTCAGATCATTGTATAAACATGGAGACTGTTAGATAAAATTGAGTTATACACCACACGTGGTATATGACCTTCCAGAGTTTTGATTGATCGAGAAGATGAACTTTGACCGGTGCTACCTTTTTTTAACGCGCATTGTGCCACGTACTGTTTTGTTTAGGTCGTCTGCTGTCAACATGGTTGCTTTGCATGAAGACGGGTTCTTTAAGCGCCATCAAACGAATGACACAGAATTGCCGTTCCCCAGCACACATGTGGAATTAGTTGTCCGGCAATGTCGAACGCATCTCCTTACTATTTGGAGGACCTGTCTATGGTGGAAGTTTCACCATGAAAATCAACCATTCAACCGTCACTAAAAAAACGTCCCAGGCCATTGGTTAAAGACAGTGACAGCGATTCGACTAGTTCGCCTTCGTCGCTTGGCGGGACTCAGACTTCGTACTATATGCTTACGTGAAAATAGTCCGCGGTTAATTTATATTTAACTAAGTGAAATACTGCATACTTTAAATATTTATAAAAAAGACTCCAGCTGTTCCCGACTGAGATTATGATAGAAACAGATCACACGACTCGTGGTTGTTGAATATGGTATTTATTTCACTCTCTTTAGTTAATTTTCAAAATTTACAAACGGCTTTTGTGGAATCAAAACAGTTCTCGCGCCCATTGTTCAACATTAAGGGGAACCCAAATATAATCCAGCTTATGTCTTGTTTAGTTTGTACGCCAACATTCAGTACGAACAATCACAAACTATCTTTTCAATTCTGTCAAAATCTTAACTGGAAGTCGATGGCCAACAGTCGACATAACGTTCAGCACTGATAAGTATATCCAATTCCAGCGCTTTATTTGTTCTGCTTTCTCAAAGCCATGGTTTTTTTTTGTTTTTTTTTGTCTCAATCTGTGTAATGTGTGCATGCTTGTGTGTGTGTATGTTGGAGAAAGAGTGTATTGGTGTACCTGCCTCCTTGCGATGGTGCGCATCTGATGCCGACATTTTAGTGCTATCTGACTGAAATACCATGCCGTAGGCACCTAAAACGGTGTTCCACCCGATCACATGCCAAAAATCAGAAAAGATACTAGTGACATATCAATGCATGTTTATTACAATATAAGAAACAGGTATTTGTTAGTGTAGTTTAATTTCACAGATATATCGTTCAACACCGTCGATGTCAGCATTACTGCCCCAAAAATAATTCCCAACATACTGGCCGGGTAAGAAGATTAGGCCATAGGGCTGGGTATGGGGCAGGTCTGGCTCTCCGGGGCCCCAGTTGGTGAAGGTCAAACGGGTCCCATCAGGCTTCTGCCAATGACCATTCACGATATGGGCTCCGATATAGTATCCCCATATTGTGGCTGTTTAAATGATTAAGTGAATATTTAAGATACGTCTTATGGTATTATTTAACGCTACCAAAACATAATCCTATAGCGACCATACTGTAAGCTAGGATTTTTTCGCCGCAGTTTTAATTTCGCTTTTCGGCCGCCATAAACGGACAAATAAGCGCAAACATTACAGCGATATATGTTTTACTCTAAAAGTGCACAATTAAACATCTCGAACGAAATTAATCACTATTGAAAAATACGTTGTGAATGGAACAGACTGTAAGTACCCACCTGGTATTTCACCATTGGCTAGTTTTTGTTTAAGTTGACTGATTATGAAGTCATTTTCAGCTTTGTCATCAATAGCAACGAGATTACCTCCCCTTGCAATACATATTTGTTGGCCCTGGCTCCAATACTTCACTTCGGTGGAGAAATAATAGCAGGAATTCCGGAACTGTGAGGTAATTGGTGGACAGCGAGGAGCTATGAAGAAAGTATTGGTCATGTAATCAAATATATATATACATTAATCTTCGTGAAATACATAACAGACTTTCAATTTGTAATTGTGATAATGTCCTGTTGCAAAGATTTTAAACAGACAGTTATGTATTCATATACAGGGAACCTAACTGACAAAAAATCAGTAACTATGTTGATACTTTTCAAACAAGTAAATTACATGTTTAATCACACGATGACCCTAATTGAAGCAACGTCTTATTAATGATACAACTATAATATGTAATAGTATCATTAACCTTAAGAAGTTGCTTCAATCTCAATTATTGTATGATTGTAAATAATTAAAAAAATCCACAAAATATGGAACATAAGAGAAACAAATAATATTGAACATAATTCAAAGCAAAAACCACAATTAGTACTCTTATGATTAATAATAGTTATTTGAACAAAATTAACAGCTAAATTGCAAACCAGCGGTGTTAGTTGTTGTCGATATATGCAGGGATTCCAACAGATGGTTTCCATTATCAGATATGAGATAAAGACAAACGCTTATTCCATTGAAACTTTGCCAACAAAGCTCTTAAAGATTATAATTGTTTCATTAACAGTTAGAAGTTTAGTTAAATTCAAGTCCTTGAATAATTGATAATGATTCGAAATCCATTATATATCAACAAAGGAAAAAAATATCCCATATAAGCATAACCCATAGGAAAAGAACACTAATTACCTCCAGAATGAGTTTGGGATATGCAAAAAATCATTTGCACAATATTTTGAAATTATAAATGAAAATATTTTTCAAACCAGGGGTGGTCGTTGAAGCCGGAGCAGGAGTCGCTGTTACCGGGGCAACTGTAACTGCTGGGGTAGCTGCTGACGTCACTGCCGCCGGAGCAGATGTACTTTGAGCATGCGTCGAATTAAAACCGGAAATGCATAAATCATCCGTACAACAATGGACGGGTAAAGATCGCTTTCGCCCAACGAGTGAAATTCTGTTACAAATCTGTGGAAAAATAGATATTTAAAATACATTTTACTAGATCTTCAACAGACAATGTGAAAATTAATAGGCATTCTAATTGATTTATTTCAATGACAATATACTACTTGACAGATACGAAAGGGAACACATATCGGAGTAAATCATTATTGTGTTTCTAATACAGTATTCTCATCGATCGTGATTTATATCCACAAAGCAAATTTTCTTATAGGATTTTCATCGTTTCGTTTCAATTTTGCAATATAAACTCAGCAAAATAACCAAGTTTCAGATCGGGTATGTTTAGAGTAAACCTCCTCCTAACAGCTACGAGAACGGTGCCTACGTACAATGTAAACAATCGGGAATCAGTTTATATTGAATGTCACTAAAATATCACTACCTGGACAGACGGCAGTATGACACTCTACCTGGTCACAATATACTTAAAGTATGCTAACACATACTTTTCAAAGCTTAATTCATCCAGGGAATAATAAGTAACAACTGTTAGTGTATTTGCCTCCTTTCCATAGCGTGAATCTGATACCTACTTCAGAGTGCTACCTCATAAAATGCTGAACAAAAAGCAGGTACATGTGATAACAACAAAGTTAGTGGACAGAATCAGAAACCATCCTTGCTGAAGCAAAGCTCAACCGTAATTCCCAAAACGAGGTATTTCATAGAACAGCACAACGAAGTGGTATTTAAATACATAGGACAACTGGTTTTTTTCTCTCAAACATATTGAGATTCTTTCCATACCAAGATTATTCCACAAACAACATAACTCATAACACGATGTTGTATAAACCATTATAGATAGCATACCAACCAATATGCAACTGTGTGCATATATATTGAAAAACAATTCTGCGGAAAATTGCTAAACACTATCGTACAATGCAAGTTTGGAAATTCTAGGCACTGCTGCCTGTTTTCCAACAAAAACTTTTGCATTTATCGTAACGATTTCTGCTTTGCTATATATATATATATATGCTGTTTATACTCACGTCTACTGTCCCGCAGTAACTGTTGTAAACATGGTCATAAATAACGTCATAAGCGACTTGTACAAAGCATGCCTGTCCACGTCGTCGTCAATATTTAGAACACCACGGAGAGACGAAGATGAAAGAAAATAAAATCAGTGCACTAGATTAACGTTTCCATTTGACATTTAATATCAAAAGAGATTATGTTTTGGTGGATATGTCGTTGTATATAATATGAAAGCAGATATTCTTATTTAAATGTTTACTATTGGCCAAAAAACTTGTTCGAAACATTGAGATAAAGTCGAACAGGTAAAACAAGTCGCTATAGCAAAACACCCGAGATAGCCAATTAATTCATATGATCAGAAACATAATATTTGTGACTTTGATCACAATTGAACGTCCAAAAAAGGAAGTGATTGTACCTTCGATGCAAAATTTATATTACGTGAGACACATCTTAATCAAAATTCTTAATTCAAATGTTTGTATTTTCAGTAACAGAGCACTGTTTCAATTATAATAAGATATAAGACCAATTATATTAAGATATAAGACGTATCAATGGTTAGAAAATCGAGACGATAATATTTTTTATGATTACACATATCGATGTGATAGTTAGAATATAGAGACGATAGTGTTTTTTATGATTACACATAGCGATGTGATAGTTAGAATATAGACACAATAGTATTTTTTATGATTATACATATCGATGTGATAGTAAGAATATTGAGACGACAGTATTTTTTATGATTATACATATCGATGTGATACTTAGAATATAGAGACGATAGTAGTTTTTATTATTACACATATCGATGTTATACTTAGAATATAGAGACGATAGTGTTTTTTATGATTACACATAGCGATGTGATAGTTAGAATATAGAATCGATAGTAGTTTGTATGATTACACATATTAATGTGATAGTTAGAATATAGAATCGATAGTAGTTTGTATGATTACACATATTAATGTGATAGTTAGAATAAAGAGACGATAGTATTTTGTATGATTACACATATTAATGTGATAGTTAGAATATAGAGAGGATAGTAGTTTTTATGATTACACATATAGATGTGATAGTTAGAATATAGAATCGATAGTAGTTTGTATGATTACACATATTAATGTGATAGTTAGAATATAGAGAAGATAGTATTTTTTATGAGTACACATATCGATGTGATAATTAGAGTATAGAGACGATAGTATTGTTTATGATAACACATATCGATGAGATAATTAGAATATAGAGACGATATTAGTTTTTATGATTACAAATATCGATGTGATAGTTAGAATATAGAGAAGATAGTATTTTTTATGAGTACACATATCGATGTGATACTTAGAATATAGAGACGATTGTATTATTTATGATTACACATATAGATGTGATAGTTAGAATATAGAATCGATAGTAGTTTGTATGATTACACATATTAATGTGATAGTTAGAATATAGAATCGATAGTAGTTTGTATGATTACACATATCGATGGGGTAGTTAGAAAATAGAGACGCTAGTAGTTTTTATGATTACACATAGCGATGTGATAGTTAGAATAAAGAGACGATAGTATTTTGTATGATTACACATATTAATGTGATAGTTAGAATATAGAAACGATAGTAGTTTTTATGCTTACACATATCGATGTGGTAGTTAGAATATAGAGACGATATTAGTTTTTATGATTACAAATATCGATGTGATAATTAGAGTATAGAGACGATAGTATTTTGTATGATTACACATATTAATGTGATAGTTAGAATATAGACACAATAGTATTTTTTATGATTATACATATCGATGTGATACTTAGAATATAGAGACGATATTAGTTTTTATGATTACAAATATCGATGTGATAATTAGAGTATAGAGACGATAGTATTGTTTATGATTACACATATCGATGTGATAGTTAGAATATAGAGACAATAGTATTTTTTATGATAACACATATCGATGTGATAATTAGAATATAGAGACGATAGTATTTTGTATGATTACACATATTAATGTGATAGTTAGAATAAAGAGACGATAGTATTTTGTATGATTACACATATCGATGTGATAGTTAGAATATAGAGACGATAGCGTATTTTATGATTACACATATCGATAGAATAGAGAGACGATAGTGGTCTTTTATGATTTCATACATCGGTATGATGGTTAGAATATTGGAACGATTGTGATTTGTATGTAAAACTAATTTGCATGGAATTGCAAGTTTGTGACACGAAGGAAACACCCGCCTACCTGGTCCCGCCCACAAACTGCCACTTCGTTACAGGAACTATCTGTTTGTTGTTGTTTACAGTTGTAACAAATTGGGCCTCTGGATCCACGAGGAGGAAAACCTGCAAATAAAAGGCATTTTGATATACTATTAGGTATAATGAACTGTTTAATAAAACAACACAGCCATGTAAACCATGTGCGATTATAATCGAACCAACATAATTCAAAAAAAGGATACAATTCTAAATATACATTGTTTTAATCAATAACTTGTTGTATAACTTATCTGCTTAAACGTTAATTAAATTAAATTAGTTTGTCTATTTATTCGTTATAATTGTAATTATTTATGTATCATAGCAAACTGTTATTTTATATTTTTATGGAATCGATACTAGAAACATATAATTGTATGTCCAATATTGGCCTATGACCTTTTTAATGGATGCAACTATATAAGCATTTACTGTATACCAGAAAATCAGAAGGACTGAGCAGATTTAATCAATTATCGCGCTAACTTAATATGTTTAAACTACTTAAACAGGTATTTAAAACCAATTTCACACAAATCAGCTTAATATTTTTTATAACGTTAACAAAACGATAATAATAAAAACCGTTTAAAATGATAAACATTGTTCCGTTATCATTCATATATTTTTGTCAAACTATAATTTTGTCAAGAAATAAGTCAAAGTAAGTTTTCTCCACAAACCGTTTATTTATCAAGTGCTGAAAAATAAAGAAACGAATTTTAACCAACAAATGGTAAATAAAACGGTATAGTGAAAGTTGATTTGGTAAATACTGTTGCGAAATCTGTTGTTTGTGCGAGTACTGTCGAGGAAACAGTTGTTTTGATAGGTTCTTTCGAATAAACAGTTGTTTTGATAGGTTCTTTCGAGAAACCTGTTGTTTTGGTAGCTTCTTTCGAGTAACCTGTTGTTTTAGTAGGTTCTTTCGAGGAACCTGCTGTTTTGGTAAGTAAAGTTGAGGAATCTGTTGTTTTGAGCTGATCCCTACCCGGTTCTCCGCATCCTCCATAGTTACAATGATCAGTGTCACAGCATTCCTGACAAACCGGGATTTCCTGTCCAAAATTTGAACGTTCGACTAACGTCGAATCGACGTCACGTTTACCTAGCGTGTTACACATCTGCAACGTAAATAAAAACATTCACAGACACAACACACAATGACTATAATGAAACTTAAAACTATTCGATAAGACAACAGGATCTGAGGAGAAACCAAAATATACCGGATACTAGCGCAAATCCCCAACAAATAAACTCCATTTTTTCTGATACATAATGACTCATAAATACGTTAGCGGTTCTGTAAAAAAATATTATTTAAACAGATAAAACACATACAAGATCGCCCCATTACAATAAAAAGATACAGTTATTGATTTGAAGATCGTTATAAAATATGAAAAAAAAATGAAAACAAATTATCAAGACCTGACCGTTCCTTATTATAAGAATGTTTCTGTTGTCGATAACATCTTATTCTTAGTCCACATTTTGTAGACTAACAAGACACATATTAAACATTAGATAAGATTCATTCATTGAACCATCCAAAAGCAGATACTTACAAGTCTATCCCGGCAACCAGAAGTGAAAAATTCATGTCCGTCGACTGTCTCATATTTTCGTAAATAACATTCCTACAAAGTGAATAAAAACAAAAAATATGGTCAACAGGCACGAATATGTGTAACGTTATGTCTATTCCGTCTTTGCGTATTGCAGAGTTATCTTCTCTTGGGAGCAGGTATTGATTGTTACGTCATTGGTTTGTGTGAGAAAATTACGTCGTTTTCTCAAAAATTGATGACGTTACTCTCACAAACAAGTGACGTAACAATCAATACCTGCTCCCAAGAGAAGATAACTCTGCAATACGCAAAGACGGAATACACAATTGCAATAAACGGGACAAAAGGAACGTCAATCATAACATTTTGTCTTTGAATTAACGGTCGATGCCGTGTCTCTATGTGTGTAACGTAGTCAAGCAGTTTAGGTTAATGTAATTGCCCCCTTGCGAAAGCGTGGATCTGATGCCGACTTTAAAGTGCTGCCGCACTGCAATACCATGCCGTAAGCACACAGCAAAGCATCCAGCCCTTGTCACATTATACGGAGAACTAAATACATAATGCACTCATTTACAGAAAGGAACCTTACAAAGCTAAATTATTAAATAATTTTCTACGAAAATTCTGAGTAAAAATATTTAAGGTAAAACAGTCTTAAGAGCATAGCTACTAGCAGGCACAATGACCGTCATGAGATATACTTCAAGATAAATATAACACACTCTCTTTCATACACATAAGATACACTCTTATGTAATTGTGTGAAGCTTACTATAATTAAAATATTTGTAAATAAGTTGATACCTCGTGTTGACCACATTCAGCAATGTATGGGCAGTCACGTGGGTAAGCCATTCGATCACAAGTAAAACACTTCACGCCATCGGCTGGAATAGACAAGATAAACTCGAATAGGAAACAAAATAGAAACATAAATCGCATAGCAATAAGATAGAAAAATAACAATTCAAATTCAATGTCAAAAGGAAGAGACAACAAAAGAAACCGAGGAGACGACTCTTAAGTTTTTATTTCGTAGCAACAGGTAAGGTCAAAGCTCGCTGATGTTTGGTTGCTTAAATGTGCCATCTCATGTGGTGTCATGACATGTTTACGGTAGCATGGCATCCTGGTCAGTTATATAAATTATGATTCATAAAATGTATCCTTGGTGTCATACATGTACCTGTTGTGTATAGGATGACACTACATAAAGAAATTAAACGAAGAAAGAGAGAATACTGAAATATCGATGTGTTCCGTTTATCATCCCCAATTATAAGTAGGCTTAATTTTTGTCCCAAGGAAAGTTCAGCTTTTCTGATTTGTCCGTTTATCGTGGAAAATCACTTTTAAAAAGAAAGGTTTTCTTACACTACAAATAATTTTGATTGACTTACATGTAACAGGCCAAAATATGATACAAGTGAACATGCTTATTAGATGTTGTTGTCAAATAAAGAAATTACTATAAACCAAATTTATAAAAATAAAATAAAATGTAAAAGTGTATTTATTGATGAAATTATTTCCCTTATTATATGTGCAGAAGATAGCGCTGTTTTATTTTTTTTCCATAATGTAATGAAGAAATTAATGTAAATACGCCATTCAATTATGTACGTTACATTCAAGCAATTGTCAAAATATGGTTTATACAGTTTTGTAACAAATTTAAAATCTTATAAAACAAAATTGACTAAAAAAAAAGACTAAAGCAACACAAATAAAAAAAACAAAAACGCAAAATTTTGATATTTATGCATGTTTTTAAATCAATGGAAATGGTATTATTAACTTACCTCCCCTGAACACCACGCAGAGGCTAATAAGGACCCCTGAAACGAGTTTTTACTTCAATCAAAAAGGAATTAAGATGCTGCATGCTTACTTTTCTTGTTGATGAAAGCATCTTTATACATATATATGTAATAACAAAAATAATATCGAACCATCAGTTCACATATATAACATATGTAGATGCGACCATTTTGGTCATAAAGTGGAATACATTCATAAGATGTATTAATTAGGAGTGAAAACGATAAAAAACATTCAATATTCATTGTCACTTTAATTACAAAAATAAAGCAAATTATGCATTGATATGGAAAATAAAATGTAAATCATTAATATTTAGCGTTTCAATCGAGCGCCGAAAATAGAATATGCTGTATTTCAGACAGTTTTGTTGGTCCTTTTTAGCTTAACGTCCTCACAATACCTGTAATACATGTTTGCAGACCACAAAAAAGAAAGTGTAGACAGCAGTATCGACCCCACATCTTGCACTGGGGGCAGGAGCTTAATTAGGTGTTTTTTTCAACTTCCATATAAGAAATATTTGTCGCTTCTTACGACGTGCAATGTGTTATGGTAGGTTAATATTTTTTCTCCGAACCCGTAGAGCATTGTCAGGATATATTTTATTTGATTTTGACTGCAAGTCATACATTATATGTCCAGACAAATCAATAAATGTTTATCCGTTGTTTCAATATCCTTGCAGTGTAAGAATTCTATCTTTGAAAGAAAATCAATTTATACTAATGTTCGGTTGTTATTTTTATGCACTGTAATATGTATGATAAGATTTTTTTCTCAGTGTTCATATATACGGCTGAGGTTACATGAGCCACACGATACCATGATTCATAGTTTTAAAAGCCAGGCAGTTATAACAGTGAAGTCATGTTAAGAGTAAGAGGTGGACATCAAAATGTTCATAGAGGACAATATGATCATTGGAAAAATTAAAAAATCTTACCAATAGTTATTATGAACCCCATGCTGTTAGTACGAAGAGTGACCAAAGACATATCATAGCTGTTCATGTAGGCATTGAAAGTTGATCCGCTAGATAAGGCATAACTAAGAGGTCGCTCACTGTCCTATGAGGTCAGGTAGATAAACTAACAAATAGGTCAATGGTTACGCATGCTGCTTCGGTTTACAAATATCATGGCAGGATTGTAAGACAAATCTATTGATAAGCAGGTTAATACCGGATGTTATGCAGAATATTAAAATATAATTCCCCTTAAATCCATTTGTTACCTTGCGTATCGCCAAAATATTTAAGGTATCTTTTCTCATTTATTCTGACATGTTTTTGTGTATGTCTTCCTCAAGTTACCGCCAAGCTTCTTTACAACGCCAACATTTCACTGGACAAATACAGTAATTCACAAACTCAGCTTACACGTGTATTTTTCCCGTGTTTATAACATAAATATGTCTTGCTTGTTTCACGTAATCGTGATTCGGTCGATTTGCGGTTTAACTTTAAATCTATTGCAATTGTTTTTTTTTCCATTTTGTTTTTGTTTTGTCATATTAGTGGTTAATCTATAAGAATACATGACCTTGAACATAATGACATTATATAGTTCGCGTACTTGGAACGGTAATATCAAAATGTTTTTGTCATGCTGTGTACAGAAAATTAAAAGTTTAGTAAGAGCAACCAAGTATCATACACATTTGTTAAAACATTGCATAGGAATGCTTGCATTGAAAAAAAAAATGAAAACAAAGTATGGCTAAAAAGCGTTTCAAGGCTTAATGAATTGGTTCTTGATATCTTTTCAATGATGTAAATACTACAAGTTCATTTCAATAACGGTATTGGTTGACTACTTATTGCAATATTTGTATCTGGTTTAAATTGCAGTCCTGATACATGCTTATCATTATGGCTGACTTTGGGCTGTTGTTAAGTATTTTCGCGTTGATTTCGATTCAATTCCAAACATAATATATTTTAGAAAAGGTCACAAGCAAAGGCTCAAAAATATATTTCCAGTGTAAGGAAATGTCATTCCTTGAAATTATGAAACAGATGTGTTTTTGTACATTTTATCAATCGTTGACATAATCTTCATAAAATGACCTTTAGTTTAAATGGAATTAAGGTTAAAATGGTTATTTCTTATTGAACAGAATGAAGCATTCTTTTTATGCCCATTGTACAGAGTAGCAATCGGTCAAAACAAATGAAAACAAACTACAAAAAAAATGCTGTTCGGAGTCAGAATCTTACAAGTACTTACACTACAGCATAAAATGTATTATATGAGGTTTTTAACGCAAGCAATTTTAACAATTGTCTATATATGTTAATTCCAATAAGTGGGTCACGTACAGACAAAATAAGACGATATGACCTATTTAAGCCTTTATTAAAAATTGAATATACATGGATTTGTGTTTCAAAATTGTCGAAGATCTGCCCGTTCGTCAATATTGAATGTTCCTATTTTGCTTAATTATTTACCATTATAACAAATTTGCTAGCTGTTTCCTGGATCGTTGGTAACTTACATCAGGGGTAGTCGGATGATGGGTTAAATAGAGCACTCGCCTTTAATCCAGGCGGCCAGGGTTCAATTTTTCGATTGTTTGTGAATTTTGCTAGGCCACTTGGTCGACCTTCTGTATTTATTCCGGTAACTTAGGTTTCCTCCCAAACTACGACTCCTGTACGCTTCTAACCCAGCCAAAAAGTGTGATTAAGATAAGTTCAAGACGTTTCACATTGTCTTAACGTGAACTATTTTATTTTATCCATTCTGACGGTGTAAGCTTTGACGCAGAAAACGATTAGACTTCTAGAGCAATTTTTCTGGTCTTTACATTTTTTGCTTATTTGTATTTCGTTTCACTTTATATTTCAGGTTAATTTGGTCTGTTTTAAACCATATCAAATGAATGACAACATGAAACCAGTAAATAGCAAATACTAATGATTTAAAAGTGAAAATTAACTGAGGCCCGTTACGCTACAAATGATGCTTGAAACGAAACTGTATTCCTACCCTTCTAAATCAACTTAGTTTAGAGTATCAGCTGTTCAGAAGCCGCCGAGCCATATTAAATTAAAAAAATAATCTTTGAAATATGTTCGTTTGAAAAAAACTATATTGTATTTGTATTACTAAGACAAAATGTATGAACAAAGTCTCACTTTTAGGATTTCAGTTTTAACTTTAATTGTCTGGAGCAGATATGTCAGACGGTTGCTTGATACGAAATATATTCTATATGCATCACTCCCAAACAGTTTCAAGAAATTCAACTTATATGATCAAGTGTTTCCTTTTGGGCACTTGACTTGCTTCAAATTCCAGGTGAATCTGACAGACTTAAATGAGCTCCATAAATAGAAATGCGCATTTTTGATGCCCAGGAATTCATAAAATGAAGGCTGAAGACATGTATTGTTCATTTTACTAAAACATGGTGTTTCAGAAACGTTATATGAAATATCAATATTTTTCTCATATAGGTTACAGCGGCAATATTGAATCTCGGAACTTAACATAGAGACTTATAGATTAAAACTTATATATCACTTTCAGGGGAAAAATAATTAAAAAAAACGCGGTAAGAAATTGATAGGGAGTCATATTTTATTATAGTGTGGACCTTCTCTAATTTACATGTTTAGTTTTGAGTTTTTATCACTGTCAATCAGCGTTGTCATGCTACCGTCAACTTTACTGTCTGTGAGTCAATTCCATTTTCATTTGTAGCGACACATGTGTAGTAACCCGCATTCTCTCTTGTCACCTGCCAGATAATTAAGTCTCCCGTAGCAGGCCTCACATAGTTTACAGGTGAAGGAAGTGGTAACTGTAATGGCAAAACGATAACAGTATAATGTTTCGATTCTCGATTCTAATTGTCAGTAAATTAGTTTGCCAGCAAGGGTAAAGTCATATCAGGCCTGGCAACGAAAAGCAGGTACACTTACACAACTTAATCCACAAATAAAAATCAATAGTAAAATTTGAAATAAATGCATACTCAAGTACACAGCAAAACAGTAAGATATTATTATAACACATATTGTTTTAACTTCAAATTTTATTGAGCACTGTACGTAGATATTCAACAATATTTTGCAAATTTATTTTACAGAATGAACAGAATATTGTTATCTATCAGACAAAACTTTTTTTTTTTTCTTAAATCTGCCTTAAACTGGCACTTTCGATATATATTTACAGCAATATACATGTTCGTTACATTAAGGACAAAGGGCTAATCCTGTTAAGGTTATTCAAATATTATTGTTAGCGTAACATATTATCATGATCATAATTATATTGGAGGTGAAACAAAGACGATCCTTTTTATGTTCTTGTTTTGATAGGCGGTCATTACTTTTGCAATGCTTGTAATGATAACAATATTTGCTTACATGTAATTAACAATATTTGCTTACATGTAATTAACAATATGTGCTTACATGTAATAAACAATATTTGCTTACATGTAATTAACAATATGCAGCCTCTTAGTCAGATCTACATTAATATTTCTAAAGAGTAAGATCATTATCTTAATTGCTAGGATTAGACACAATATTACTTGTGTTTACGGATTTACAAATTGTGTTTCTCCGAGACTATCCAGTAAATACACCAAATTAAGAAGTAAACATTACTTTCTCCGTTGCGATTGTGTGGCACATTCTACCAAGAGGTTATGCAAGCACAGGTTAATAATCTTCCTTAAATCTTTATTATTTTTATTAACATAGAAAAAGATTTATCAGTAAATAAGGACAAAACACGCTCTTTAATGATGTTAAAAAACTGTTTGTGCTAAAAATGTGTTTACCGGTACGTCCCAGTGAATAACAGGCTTCGGAGACCCGGTGGCAGCGCAGTGTAATCCAACATTTACCCCATATGTCGCATTCTTTAGTAGTGGTCCGACATCTGTTATTGTGGGCATACTGCTGGCTGTAATATTAATTATTTAGATGTTTGGTATGTTATTGTGGGCATACTGCTGGCTGTAATATTAATTATTTAGATGTTTGATATGCGATGGCTTGTCAAAAATTTAGTTGGAATACAACTATTGATCGTAGTACACATGTGTAAGCTAAGATCAGCTTAATATAGAAGTATGATTCATTATACTCATGATATGGATACAGTTGTTAATCATTGTTATTTTTGTTTGTTTGTAATTAAAGGTCATCGCTACAACCAGTGTCATGTGAGGACGGGGGCCTAGTGAGACACTACTGAAAAATGAAAGTAAATAGAACTTATATTAGACAGAAGAGATAGGAAACGAAAAAGATTTTAAAAAGTTGCAATTTAGGCAGAAAATCAGTTTTTATCTCTTTCAAATCCTCTTAGTAGGAGACACAGAAGAAATACTCCGATTATGCAGGGGGACCACATACGTGCTCTTTTACAACATGCAGTGGAATACAGCAGGTCTGAACAAGGTTTTCTCGATATCCCCTTAAACAGAATATATGGAAGAAACTCCCCATTCTTTAGGGGCAAATTAGTCGCCATTTACAAAACTTCCATATATTCTGTTAAACAAATTGTATGGCTATATCTACAAAACAAAAGCACAGTAGAAATAACTATGTGTTAGATCTCTCTTTAAACAACACAGAGCTTGACCAGGTACAGTCTGCTAAACTGCTTGGTGTAAAGGTTGATCAATGTTTAGGTTGGGAAGACCATGTTCACTACATGTTTGGGAAAATAAATAACGGCTTAGGTTTCTTGAGAAAAATTAAAAGGTACCTTCCCACTAGTACGAGAATCAAATATGTTGATGCATGTATGTTTCCGGACTTTTTATATTGCTCAACAGTTTGGAGTGGATGTTCCCAAAATTTGATGCAAAATATGTTTAAAGCCCAAAAGCAGGCAGCAAAGCTGATTCTAGAAGCTCTCATCTGTTGACATGTTTTCTGTTTTAAACTGGTTGCCAATAGCTGATTTTTATCTACTTAGAAGAGGTACAATGGTGTACAAATGTGTAAATCATCTTGTTCCGGGATATCTGTGCAATGTTTTTGAATTATTGTCTGATGTTCATACTAGACGTACAAGATCAAGCCAAAACCATCTTTTACAGATACCAAGACATCGTACCAAACTTTATGCAATTTTTGTTGTTGTATCAGGCAGCCAAATTTGGAGCAAATTAACTAATAAAATAAGGGCATCTACCAATGTAACGTCTTTTAAACACTCTTTCCGTAGCAACCTTAGGGAGTCTATGTGATTCCTTTTATTTTAATCATGTGGGTTTTAGTGCAAACCAGTTTTTATGTTTCCTGTGATAAACCTGTTTCCTCCCACTCTTTTTTAGCATTTTTTAAACATTATTTTAATGACTACCTATAAATAAAATAAAATAAATATACAACATTTGATATAGCGCCCTATCTAGCTAACATAAGCCACTCTAAAGTGCTTTACAGTACATAGATATACAATTGTATACAGTCAATACAATTAGCATATATATTAATCAATACAATATTGAGGAATTCGCAGGAGCTGCCTTATCAGGCGCTAACTACTAATCCTATGCCACCTGGCTAATTTCTCCCTATGTGTGTATGCAAGTGTGTGTGCTTGAGATGTATTTTGTTCTGTTTATAGTGCCACATCACTTGAGTGCTACAGCACAGATACCGAAAGACCCACCCCAGACCATGTTATACTCCACCTGGATTGTTGGAGTTGTGTGGGCAGGAGAAAAACACTTTCTCTTAATATTCCATGCGTACGGCGACTTCGGGGATCGAACCCCGACCGCCTGCTTGGATAACCTATATCTTATCATAATTAAAAATAAAATAATGTGCAAGCCCTGATCTTTATAAGCTGTCACATGTGCTCTCTTTTTAAGATATACCAATATACACATGTCTGGCAAACCATGTAAAAGATGTTCTACAATTATGTCTGGTATAATGTTGAAATTGTAATTTCACTAACTGATATTTTACTAACAAGAGGACCCTGTGGAAGATAAGCTTTGCTTAACAGGTTAGAAAATAAAGTTTATTATAATTGTTATTATTATTAAATGCAGTAGGATACAGCAGGTTTTTCTTGGTTTCCTCTTTATCCCGTAAACAGAATACAATAAAACCAATGTTTATCAAAATGCTAAACGAAACTCAATAATAATATATAATTGATTAGATTTCTCCACTTACTTATAGGTGTTGTGTGCAGCTGTGTGATGGTGGGAGGTAAATAATTGCAATCGTCAGAGAAACAACAATATCCACCACTATCGAACCCACTACGCCGCCCAAGGACAACCCAATCCGTATATTGTGAATCAAGAGGGCATTCCTAAATAGAAGAAAAGTCTGCGTTTGTCTAATATTGAAACATTTTACAGGGTAATTCAAGAGCAATACAAACGTACTTGTTTAAGTGATTTTATCTATTTTTTAATACAATGCGTGCATTTTTGTCTCAATGTTATTAACATCACACTGTAGTATTTTTCACCTTCAAACGCATATGGTGTATTTATTAATTGCAAATGTCTTGGTAAAATCATAAGAAGTTAATAACCTAATCCGTATCTGTTTCATTGATTTGTTATCTAACTAGTCTTGTCTTCTTCTAATATAAATATTACATAACATTTCACCATATTATTACAAATTACAAAAAAATGCTGGAATGCTTGATACTAGCGATATCGAAAGAAAAACTACCGTTTTGTGTTTGCATTGGAATAGGTAAGTAGGGTTGTTGTTCTGTTGTCGTTGTGTGCTACTGTAACATACCTACAACACAACAACAAAAAACACAATGGGTTAATACATGCTTCATATAAATAATCACTTCCCATGATAACTGATTTAAATATATATTTATTAAAAGTTGATAAGCCAGTTCAGTGAATTGAAAGCCCGATATATAATATCAATGGTCATCAAAGGTATGATGTTAAAACAGTCTATAATGACTTTGTATCACATTCGTTGTATTTATCGTATAATATATGCAATTGTTATGAAGTCATGAACAAAATGAACGAATGCCAAAGTGTATGCACTGTGTTTGTTCTTTTGACATTTGGTTTCTTTTGGTTTTCAAGGTGTTTTTTTGTCATTCAAAGTCTGGTATGTTTCAAATTTGAAATAACTGTGAAAATGATGTGGTATATGCGATACTGACATGATCCTGTGGACATATGTGATGAAAATGACAAAGAGGGTCAGTACTCTCCGGACAGTCGAAACATCGTAATAATGGTTGGATTGTTGTACCTAAAATTGTAATTGTGAACATAACATAATCGATGATTTTTATTGGTTTTTTTGCAGATTTTCATTTTTATCTTTCTCTATTTCTTCTTTTTCCGTTTTCTATCGCATTGCTTGGCAATACCTCACTTCCTCGCCCATGTGAGAAAGGCAATTGGATCCGTCTCCGTGCTGAGACATACCGAAGTCCTTTAAATCATAGTTGCTATTCTCTCTGCCTAACGTTCAGCAATTAGGATAATGGCAGCAACTGTTTCATCCGTTGTCAGTATAATGTCACCGGGCGGAATGCTATGTTAGGTGCCTTCGACATGGTATTTCAGTGAGGTAGCACTCACAATTCTCAAAATGTTGAACGTTAAGCAGGGAACATCACCTATCATTATAAAGGACGTTGGTATTTCCCAGTTTTGGAACAGAACCCATTGCCTAACCCACATTGACAAACGCTCAACACTAAGGTAACACTTACACATTGCCCATTAAGGCACTAGGAAACAAAATATTTTCCGGAAAAAAGAATTAAATATAAAGATCCTAAATATTGCGATCGGGGCAGATGCTCCGATGTGGTTTCTTCATTTGGAACATAAGTTAACACTACAGTTAAATTATTCAAAATTCTATTTAAATAAAGTCCATCTTTTAGGACGAGACTCAAAACCTACCTATAGTTGGAGTTGTTCTAGAATGAGCTGGTTCTACAGTAGTCACGTGATTCTGGTGATGACCTGATGACGAAGTTGTGCACTGTCTATTACAGAAGTCCCCGGAACAACACGTGGAGCAGCCACTATTAGAATTCAGATGCTGGCAGTTCTGTTGGACAAACAGTCTTTTATTTTTTTTAAACTTGTCTTTATGTTTTCAAACCCTGATTAATTGCAACAAGTTAAAATTGATATTGGGGCATTTGCATCACATTACGTTGTTTTGTCATGATATATTTCCTGAAATAAATTAATCACGCATAAACATTATATAACACTCGAAACAATGCTAAAAGAAATAAGTTCTTAATATTGAAATAATTGCTTAATAACTAAATAAACATTGATATGATACATAATACATTATAAGATTGCACATAACATCAGTCGGTCAAAGAAGAGTAAAATTTTAATCTGACCTGGATAATTTTTACAAAATATAGGGTGTGCTACAACCGAAAACCGAAAACGATATTCTGGCAGAATACCTTTAGTTCCTTGTGTGATAAACTATCGTTAAATTTAAAGCATTGTCTTCATTATTAACGGCTACACTATCTAGTGTTAATAAATATATCACCTAACGTAAATTATATATATATGATTTTAATTGTGATTCTTTCCCATGAATATACTTTTCAAGGATCAATATTTGTTTTGAAAATAAAGATAAACTTTACATTTATTGTAATCAAACTTTCAATTGTTTTAAAACACTCTATGGAGATTTTCTTTTGTCAGTGGACATTTAAAAAATGAGTCAGGTAGAAAACAGATTCAAATAGTCTTTTTTAAATAACGTAAAAAAACATTCTTGAGTATTACCAAAGTAATGAAGTTCCATGCAACTGGGTTAAATGTGTTTTTTATTGATGTGTCCACGTAATAGTGATAAAAAGTCTCAGTGATAAAAATTGGCTCTTGCCAGGAGGCCATAGTTTCAAGAATCTGATCGGTTGATATCATCACGGAAGACAACTTTGAATATGTTTGACTCAGCTTACTGGTTGAATGAACTTCCGTAAATTCTTGTTTACAATTTAGTATGATCAAAACCATTCTAAGTAATAACTTGTTATATGCAACGAATATCAAATAATTGTAGAGAAAATAATAATATGTTGATACGTTGTCGCTTTTCAAGGGAATTATAGAAAAACAAAAATCATTATTGAGCTTTCACTGAAGCTAAAACTGTATAGAAATTAAATACCCCAAACCTGTATTCGCATGGAAGTTATTTACTCAAACCATCGTTAATATATTTCAGAAAAACTGTGGATGCAATTCAAAGGTAAACACTTCGACCGGTATTTTACTCACCTGGGCGTTTAGTTAAAACACCCATAAAATAAAATAAAAAAATAAGAATGTATATTGTTCTTCTTCAGATAAGAACTTTTAACGCCGCAACAGTTTTTTGGGCCTGGTTGTTAAAATGCCTGATCACCTGAAACAGCCATTTACGCCAATTGGAAAATATGTGAATTAAAAACAAAATACTAACATTTTGTGTTTGTTGTATATGTTGTTTATTCACACCATCAAACAAACACATTTCTATTCAAGTAAACTGGTCGCGTTCGAAATTGTTGTTAAGATATTAAAGTTATACACAACTGGTCCCAGGTGTGATTACCATGGGAACAACCTTCATAACGTAAATGATATTACCTGAGTGGCCTTACATCCCATCTGATAATGTCCAGGGGAGGAGTTATGTATGTAGCATGCCTAGAGAAAAATTCAGAAAATAAGAAATACTCATATACATACAGTTTCTCCAATGTTCTTCTTAACGCTAATGGAAAATATTAACTAATCACCATATTCCACCACCGTTAATAATCGGATGATTTCAGGTTTAGTCTTCACAACATTTAGTGATATGACAACGGTATTATACCAAAGTCCTTACAAATGGTATTTTTATTCCCTACTGAAAGTTCAGCATTTAGGGGAATGGCAACAACTGGTTCACCCGCTGTCAGAATAATGTGACCGGACGGAATGCTGTGCTGGGTGCCTTCGGCATGGTATTTCAGTGAGATAGTACTATAAAGTCGGCATCAGATCCGCACTATCACAAGGAGGCAAGCACACCAACATACACTGTTTCCTGCATACACACACGCAAAGCCGCTTACGCAACACACATGGGGCACGGTCTTAAATGACATTAGCTGTTAATTAAACCAAACCAAACACTTTTGAATTAGCAAAGGGCTATTCAAACTATGCATTTGAAACTTATTTTTCTGGCACGAAGAGAGCTTTGATAAATAATTTTTGAAAAGAAAAGTTTACCTTTCGGGATTTTTAAGAAAACAAAATCGAGTCGAAATAAACCAAACACACTTTAGATTGTTATACTATCGCTGAAACTAATTGGACAATGGAAGTGTACGAGCCCAAACGTGCTACAGTTATATCTAAACAGAAGTTAAGAAGAGGTTAATAGATAAAAGACAGTGCAGTGGGACGGGAATCTTTAAAGTTAGTATCCCTGATTCGAAAATCTTATTTAATTGGTCACGATGTATTTTCCAAGTATGTCTATCACATTTTCATTAAGCGCTAAGTAAATTAAATTAAGTGAAACAACACTGTAACATTTCGTTTGGTTAACTTACTTCACCCTGGTTACAGCGTCCGATGTGGTCGCATTCTTCGGGGCTTCTCACGTCTTGGCATTTAAAACAAACCGGAGCATATCCATGCATCGCTGTAAAACCTGAATAAAAAACACGTACCTAGATCCAGTATATTTTACTTTTACATAGGTTCTAAATATATCAAAATAAACATGTATATTAAGAACAGCGCGTGACGAGATACATAAAAGTTATGATTAAATATTAAATGTAAGCAAAGAATTTCGTATCATTCCATTTGTTCCGTAATGGAATTGTAATGGTAAAATTGTACAGGTACTGTATAATACTTACTTAACGACAACAAATTAAAATGGCATAATGACATTGATCGAAAGTCGTGGGATTAGTATGCCAATACACATGTACGACTGTATAATGGTGATGGCTTAGCCTAAAAGGTTGGAAGGAAATCTGATAGAAAGTGATAATTATGTATGCGGACAATATGGGGGTCACATGACAACAGAGGAACAGACTGATTATATTTTACCAACTTAACTCACGGTGGCATAAGCATACAATTCCGAGGAGTAAATGTAAAATTCTCTAGAAACCAACATCTTACCTGGTAAATTACATCCGCCAGAATTGCAATAGTTGTCTTCACAGCATTCAAGACACATGGTAATTTCTCGCTTACTTGTCCGTCGCACAACGGTTCCATTGGTAAGGAGGTTGGCGCAGTGCTAAAATCATATACATATAGGATCTTACAAGAGTTTTCATTTCTTATGATATATATGAAACGAGTCTGATAATTTTTCATTTCAAAAGCCTCTGGCGAGTTTCATAAATTTCATATGAAATCACAAAATCAAGATTTGTGGCATCTAATCGTGTAAAACGACAATTTTCACAAAACTACCTTGAAATATCAAAAGCCGACATTTTGACTCCAGGATGTAAGTCTTTGAGTTCATTTATTAGTCCTAAGCAAGACGTCATAATTGAAACAATTGAAACTTACAACCAGTTAGAGGGCTGGTAGGTCATATTACATTGGTTAATACGTAAAAACATATCACATGGGTACATTCACAGGATAGCACAGTACACAAAATAGTAGATAGACCAAGAAACCATTCCGCCTCCAACACATACGTTAAATGACCGTTGCTATTCATATTCCTATTAAAGCAAAGCAGTCATTGTAATGGCCAAGAAATAACTTCTTTTTTAGATTTGCATCAAGTTCTTACAAAGTGTTGATTTGGGCAATTGGGTTTTGAACAAACATATCAAAATCTCCTAAAAAACCACAAACCTTCGATATAAACTATAATTGACAATAGTTACCATTGAATCCATACAGCCGCTTTGGTATAACTGCATCCCTCGCTCGTTTTCAAATGATCGGAGCAAACATTTCTGAAATATAAATACTGTTTGATATCATAAGTTAAGGAATAACGGCGACGGAGGCATTATGTGATGACGGAATGGCTATTTATGAACTCCCTTACCTCGTGAGGTCCACATTGTACTACTGTATCACATGATGTCGGCAAAGCCTCGCTGTGACACTCCAGACACAACGGCCCCTTTCCATATACTAAAATTAAATTAATGCAATAAACAAAAACGCCTTGGGTAAAAGACAAAAAGTCGTTTAGCATACTAAATAATACTGTAAACCTACTTTTTTCAATAAATATACCTTTTTTCTAAACATCTTCTGAACATAATTTGTACTAAACTGTGTATCATCCCATGCCTTGTTGCATAGTGAATGTATTGTTTGAATTTATACTCACCTACTCCAATTTGAAATATTAACGCACAAATGGTTGAAATCACAGACTGTAAAATAAAAGAGTAAATACAATTTTATTCCATTCGCAAGTTTCCAATTATCTCAGTATAAATATTTCGTTTGCCCTCATTTTATCGATATTGAGATTATGGTTATTTACTCTTTATACATCCATTTTCATTTCTATTGCGTGAGACAAGTAGTCCTCGTGTTGGGAAATGGATGATTACAACAGTCATCACCCAAATATGTACTTTGCAGTGTATAGACAAATGCGGGAGGCGTGATATTTTGTATATGTGATTGATTTAAAGGTTCTGGTAGTATTTTGTCCTAGCATGGTAATAATGTAACTGCCGAGTTTGTCCAGGTAATGCTGTTATGATAATTTAATATAGTTTTCGTTTGTTTTTTTAAATTGGTGCATGTATCTACTTTGAAACCGTTGGTAAAACGGAAAACCCCAAATAAACAAATAAACAACACCTGGTGACCGGTGGTCAAAGTTCTTTTGATAGCGTATATTATGTAAGTGTGTCTATTACGGGCCACTGATAACATATATAAATAGACTGACTCCAAATTCTGCCCTGAACAGTTAAATGGTACGACATCGGACTCGTGACCGAAGGGTCCCGTTTTCGTGTCCTTTTATGATACTGTGGTGTATTCTTGAACAGGATACTTTTCTCCGCTTGTTTCAGCCTACGTAACTGTAAATGAATACGTGGTTGGTCAGTGCTGGGGTTTTTGATGTGAGTGTCTAAATGGCAGGACCGGCTGTATGCTCCCCAGGTAGTTGAAAAAGATATTGGCCGATTGCAAAAACCACGAATGATAACCTTTGAACCGCTTTGAGACGACCTAGGTTGTTATAAAGCGGTTTATTATATTCTTATCATAATAACAAATATATAAACTTTAATAATGACCTTATAGCAGTTATGAAACAAATTTTCCCTATTTATATTAATTACTCTTGATTGCTCGGATAAAGCGAACAAAAGGCGAAATGCAGATGGAAACCCAGATTGTACCCAGAGAAAACCAGCGAGGTCGAGCCAGTAACAACAAATACTTATTCACGTCCGTTAGAGAAATCAAACCCCGACCCTCCTGTCGAAAGGCACGTGCGTTAACCCCATCGCTAACCCATCACCCAAATAAGATATAAATGGTACATCAACACAATTATTTTCGCTAAGGACGAAACTGATATTTCTTGTATCTTTAATGTTCGCTTGAAAGGAAGCCTTATTGCTGATATGCTATGTATGTTGTCTACTACGTAATATTAAACATTGTAATTACCTGTTATTATCTAAAATTGATTACAGTGGTCTATCTCCCCTTTAAACAACACTCGTACAAACTAGCATTGGGTTATAAGATAAGGAAGTGATATAAATGTTTGAAATCTTAACTGCATTAATCGTACTTTGATGTAGTAGAATGCAATATTTTTGTATTTGCATATTAAAAGGAACGACCAATGCACATATGATAATATATAAATTTGAAATATTTTAATTTTTTCTCTCTAATAAACACATGAATACATATAGGGGAAAAGATAGTATGACAAGACAAAAACACAATTGTACTAATTGTGAAATAAATGACCTCTATCAAATTTATGACTTTATGATCATAAAATACATATAGGGGAGAATTGTGACAAGACAAACAAACAATTGTGCTAATTGTGAAAGAAGTGACCTGGCTTAGATTTATGAATTTATGATCATAGAAAGGAACTCTTTCTAAAATGTTTTCCTTCAGTATTTCTATAAGTATTTGCCTACCTTTCACTTGTGTCATTTATTGTCTGGCATACCTCATTGTGTTGGTCGACAGAACGCCAATGTTAAACAAACAGCGTATAAAATTACTTAAAGTTGTCCATAAAAATACTCACCATATTTCGATTTCCTTAATGAAACGCCAAGTTGTTGTGGAGAAGATTGTTGAAATGCACAACCTACAAATAGTCCAGTTGATATCTTACAATTATAGATCAATGTACAATGATAAGAGTTGACATACTTAGGCCATGCTACTAAAAGAGGTGAGTTAGTGGAAACCCATATGCCTGGTGGCTTGGCTTGGTTTTGATAGTATTGGATTTCGCTAAATAAAATAGAAATCATCATATATGTTTATTTCACTTATAAATAATCTTCACGGCGTTCCATGTATGATAGAAAGTTAATCATTTAATGATATATCATGGGAGTGCAATGAGGAACAGAAAATGTTGATGATTTTTTTATTTTTCTTCAATAACCATACTTACCATTCCCTATTCAATCAATAATGTAACTAATGATATTTGGCTTTTACCGAATAATCATGGCTCTGTTATATAATTGATAATTACATGAAGATTATTATTTATATTAATCATGATATATATAGTTTTGTCACTTTTTATTAGTAAAACATTATTCGGGTTAAGATTCAGAAATGTATTGGTTGTCGTAAAATGAAACACCATCAAAAATGATTAACAATTAATTAAAACAAGAATTCAATAGGTCTTAGCAGTCACCTGCATTATACATATATACCACACAGTTAACATAACAATGGGGCAATTCGAACACAATTTATTTGTTTGTTGGGGCTTTAACGTCCTCGGCCAATGTCATATGAGGTCGGGTGCCTAAGAGGTTTGGTTTGGTTTAATTTTATTTAACGTCCTATTGACATCTAAGGTCATTTAAGGACGTGCCTCCATGTGTGTTGTGTATGCGTGCATGTGTGTATGCGTGCCGGAGACAGGGTGATGTGTTGTGTTTTTGCTTCTTTTGATAGTGCGGTTCTGATGCCGACTTTATAGAGCTATCTCACTGAAATGCCGTGCCGAAGACACCCAGCAAAGCATTCCGTCCGGTCACATTATACTGACAATGGGTGAACCAGTTGTTACCGTTAACCAAATGCTAAACGTTAAACAGGCAATAACAACTACCGTTTTTAAAGACTTTGCTATGTCCCGGCCTGAGGACAGAACCTACCACAGACTGTATTCCTCACCTTAGCGAACGCTCGGCATAGAGAGAGAAAGTAGATCAGAACAAAGTATGCAGGAAAGAGTACCGTAGTTGCTAATGGGTTGCTTAACCAATTAAATAAACCACAAACATATTTCGGTCAAAATCTACTATTTACATACATTTGAGATTTCTATTAATGGCTTTGCAATTACTCCAAAATCCAAAAAATCCTGGATGGTATCATTATTAAGACTGGCTGTCAACAGCTCTAAACAACGATAACAAATATCGGGTCATTTGACACATGGAGTTGATGCCAATACACTTTTTTCATATTATAGAAGTTTAGCGATACCTCGCGGCCGTACTTCAATTTATTTTTTACGGGACATTGTAGAGAACAACATCAATGTAAATTCTCTATCTTTTCTTTTTGTATATTATTGCTGTAGTGACTGGTTTGATAAGCTACCGTTTATTTATTTCTGCTTGATTCCCTGCATGATACTTCTTTGTTGATATGCCTTTATTCATTACAAACTACTGATTATATTCGAAATCGGGAGTTGCTTCCCTTATAACACGCTCTTTGCAAAATAAACTGTTGGAAGAGGAGGTAAATGAAGTATCCTGAAGCCTGTGAATGAGAGGACATTCACCCATGGCCACTGATATTGCTCATCTATCATCATTGCCGACACATGTCACTAACTGAGACGATACATTCATCAAGCAATAAAACATAAAAAACACAATCAATCAATGCTCTCGAGTCAAATTCCGAACCTTGTACATTTGAACTTGGTGTCTTTAATAATCATCAATCGAATTTTCCTAAACCCTCGGCGCGTTGATTGTTTTCGGTTCGATAGGGCTAAATGTCCTGTGAACAGGATTCAGAAATAATGACACACGTTTGCTAATTACCTGAAGTAAAGGGATCTGTAGGATGTTGCTCTTGGTTAAAGTTGTACATTTGTATTAATAAACAAGATGTTTCAGGCTTTCATTTTTCACTGGATTCTACATGTTTCGAAAGACTTAAAATATGGCCTCTCATTTATTTCCAAAGAGGTATACTGTTTACGTTGTTTCACTTTTTGCATCGACAAACTTATCTCTCAAAAGAAGTCTTCTTTCTTTGTATTTGTCGACATTGTTTTAACGTCCTCGTTACAGCCAAGTCCATATCAGGACCGGTGCCTAATGTGATGCCGGAATAAAACACAGGAGGAACGATACATTCTACAATTATTACCAAATTCACATCAGTCCAATTTTCAACCATGGAAGGCGTGTCACAATAACTGCATTAAGTATGAATTCTCTTGAACAAAATATCAATATTACGCAAAGATCTCATATTATGTTTATCCTACCTGTTTATAAATTTGTCTGCAATGAGGAAAGAGGAACGTTACACACACAGGTGACTGAATCTTTTAAATTTGGTAATAGAAATGAGTTACACTACGACATACAGCTGTTTCGTCCTTCTATGACTAATTGGTGATGCTTGAGGCAAAATACTTGGAATTCCAAATAGCAAATACCAGAAAATGTTTTGATATTTTGTTTGTTCAACGTAAAGCGTTGTTACAACCGCCATGGTCTTCTGCGTAGTGTACCTTGGTTGTGTTTTGTCGTCTCTACAACAGGTTATGTTATACGTAGTTCGGTAGTGAGGTAAAATTCAGCGAAAAGAAAACAATACAGCAGGTCTATTTTTCCCCGCATCTAGACAAGGAAAGTATGTAAAAGAGGAAAGAAAAGATATATGTTGCAAGTGTTGCAAGTATATTTTTGTTCCTCGGGATCAAGATTACAGCCGCTTTGTTGGATAAAGTATGATGTCAGATTGACGTTTGCCGCTGTTCCGACATATGCCCTTTATATACACATGACGCTATCTTCTATTTGTCGATTGATTGGAGGAAACTGTGTCATCAGAACGAGGAAACATTGATAGATACGTCGTTTGGCTGACCTTGGATCGAACACAAACATCCATACTGATCTGTTAGCCTCGGCATCGTCAATAAATCCAGGCTGTTCATCACATTCGACAGAAACACAGACACTGACTAGTTACATACCGTCCGGGTTGTATGCATGTTTTCACATATTGTAAATGCTCAAAGGTCACATGATGGAAGTTGATAAAGGGGATTGAAATTTGAAATTGAAGTTATCACAAATAGGATAAGGCAGGGGACTAGGAGACAACAACACAATTTTTTTTTTATTATTAAATGCTTTACGGCCCACCATCACTAGATAGGTCATAAGCGGGAAAATGTTAACCCCTAATTCAAACAGATATAGTGTTCACCTACAATGTGATATAGCTGTCATTGTCAACATCTGCATACTTGTGACACTAACGAATGAAACAGTCATATGTTTGCTACTACTATAGAGACTGAATTTTCTTCTCGTAACAGAGAGAAAATGTTGGGTGTTCGCCCGATTGAGGAGAGTTATGGGTTCTGTCCACGGATCAAGATAAACACAAGTTCACCACATAATACTTTATACAAGGAAATGTTCGCCGAGGCAAATTGTCGCCCTTCAACGACTAAATACATTTTTCCCAATAATACATTCGCCCTCCACATTTAATTTCTATGTTTATTTTGTGGTTAACAAATGTTAACTGTAACGATACATTACAGAGGGCAATTAAGGTGAAAATAAAACTGAAGCGAAATTTCTCAGTATACACCACCTGCTGTTCGTTGCTCGACGTTCAGATATATATAGGTGGCGGTACGGACTGATTATCTGCTTGTCCATGACAATGATAATGTCGTTCTACCGTATCGAGACAACGACATTTTTCAGGAGATGACACTCTTATGTAGCACTATCATTCATGGACACTTCGTTTGACCTTACTTGCTGCGAGGCACAGCACCCCTTAAGCAACATTAATCTGTCAATTTGAAGCCTTCCATATACTGATACAGTGTAATACTTTACTATTAGCTTTTACATTACTGCTGTAGTATTTAACCATATCGTTGTGCTCCCTTTTAACTGCCACTAGTAAGTTTACCACGCAACAACATAGCGGCGTCAGCGTCATGTCTTACACAACAATATATGCTTGATATCACGCAGATATAGGGCACTGATGACAATGATTGATGACTGTCCCGTACAAAATGAATATGATTAGCGAATTTGCATCAATAATAGATAACAACAGGCGTTTTAAACGATTTTTCCTTCACATGATGGAGTTTATAAATCAGAATGACTGAGAATTATTAGAAAGACTTCCAACAAATGTAACCATCACACTTACCACTGACGTTGTTTACAGGACCAAGATATAATAAAGAATTATGTATTTGTGATTTAAAATGTAAGTCTACTTTGATTAATAAAATGATGTAATCTGAGGACACTTTTATTTGTTCAATAATAACATATGTTCTTTTTATTTAAAAGTATAGGTCCTTCTTTAAAAACTACAATAACCTTCGTAACAAATTGAAAATATTACTCGAGTATGAACCACGATAAGATATTATTTCATTCGTTTTAAGTTTTCCTACTTAACTTTCTATGTTTGTTGCTTAAACAGGGTTAAACATCCTATCAACAGCTAATGCCATTTAAGAACGTGTCTCAATGCGTGTTGGGTAAGAGTGCATGTGTGTATGTGTGCCGAAGATGTCGGTGGATTTGCCTTCTTGTGAAAGCGCAGATCTGATGAAGACTTTACAATTATATCACACTGAAATACCCTACAAAACGCACCAAGCATAAGCATTCCGATCAATCACATTATACTAACAACGGGCGAACCAGTTGTTGTCTTTACCCGAAATGCTGAACGCTCTTTATATCTCTTTATACATAAATACAAATTACATGGTTTTATTTGGTGTTAATATTTATGAACACTGGGGAAAAATACATTAATGTGCCTTAACTACAACCATAGGGATATGTTCTACATTTAGTTGATGGTGTATCTGTGGGTTCCGGACAA